TCCTTTCCTAAGTGTAGAATATGTAGCCTTTTTCTTCCCTTTTCCTCCTCTTCCCCTGCCAAAAGAGGTTAGAATAGCTTTTTTTCTGATGAGATGATTCAACACTTGCTGGGCTTTTACATTTCAACAAACAAATTACATGAGAGGGAGGAGGACGAGCAATAAATACATGAAAATATTACAAACCCTCCTGAAGTCAAGGCAATGCTTAATTTGGAGATCATCTTGACACTGCAAACTCGTTATGCCTTTTTTTTTTTTTTTGCTAAAGCCCAAGCAGGTTTAAAGTTTATATGAAATTTAGATTAACAGCAAACTCCTGAGACACGCAGGAGTTGAACTGAAAAATCCCACGACTATGGAAAGAGTGGCTTGGCATCTTACAGAATATTGTGCTTCATTCTGGAAGTTTTCTTTCCAAGAAAAGTTGTCCTGCGGTAGAATTATCCTTCCCTGAACTGTTCCTCAAGCTCGAGTTCTGACAATCAAAATTTAAACTCTTTACCCGTATTCCTACAGAGAAAAGAAACAGGACTCCTACTAGAGCAACAGTGATTTAAAACTTGTGACTGTTTCACAACAGACGTTCTCAGTCTAATGTTCTTTTTCAGTATCATAACATTTTTCATATGTTTACACTTGAATCAATGTAATAGTGTCAATTTGAAGCGGTTGCTTAGAGCAATAATTATCTTTCAAAATAAATGGCCCAAACATTTTCTCCTGCCTCTGGGGAATGAACAAGCTTTAAGAAGATGGTTGGTTGCTCAAGCAGCCAGGAGACACGGAGGCGACAGCTGTCAATACAGACAGAAACCCACAATTCTCACAATGCAAACCAACAAACATTAGGATATAAAGAAGTCTAAATATAAAACAGTTTGATTTCTTTTCTTTCCAAGCTTCTTTCTTGCTATAAAGAAATTTTGATTATACTATTCCAGACTGGAATGGTAATTACTTTCCCAGCAGCCAAGTTCTCCCATTCTACCCCTGTCCACCCTTCCCACTGCTGCTACCAGCCCCAGTTCAATTCCTGTAGGAGTAAAGTACCTTTCCTAGCCATTTTTAAAGACTGGAATTTCATGGAAACCAAGATGTTACCAGATTTTAACCTGTTTATTCTTCTCATACACACTACATTTTTTCTTCTAAAAACCATTCTGAAGATTTTTAGAGAAAGGAGGGAATTACATTTAGACAAGAAATTATTTATGCTTATCTCAAAACCTGAGAGACACAGAGTTTGGCTTTTTCTTTTTCCCTAATCCTTAAAAGCACTAGAGGAAAAAAGGTAACTTAAATCTGTGCAGTAAGACTTTTAGGATACCATATCTTCCTTGTTTTATTGTGCCACAAAAATATGGTGATTACTTCCTCTCCTCTTCCCATCAGACACTGATTTATTTGACTGATGAATAGCTTTGCCTGCAAGAATTTGAAATCCTGGTTATTTCTTCCTTAGTTGCCATGTTTGTAATTATTTCAATGAATAATAATTACCTTCACCCAATCTATTTGAAGTTATAAAAAATCCACCAGTTTTTGAACTCTAATCCATAAAACCACAACTTATAAAGTCATAAAGGATTGCAAAAGAGTCAAACTTGTGAAATATTAAACATTGTGGAGAATGCAAGGAGGCCTAAGGTTTTGTTCTTAAAATATAAGACATATTTATGATACTGCTTAATACATCATACAATCCCTTTTTAGAAGTGAGAGATGGAAGCATCCAAGATAGTCTTGCAGAAATGTGACCACAACAAACTGAAACCCGTAATTCTATTTGTAAAAGTAGGCTGTAGGCTAAGATTCATAGACTTTACTGTAATTCTTGGGGGAACAAGCGTTTTTCTGAATATTTCTGCATGCAGTAACATCTTTTATTTGCTCCAAGATCAGCTGCGATAATTTTGACAATAAAGAAGAAAAATGCATTGAAATAACCTAGATCAATCCAAGGGAAACCAAGTTGCTTATAATCTTTAGCTTTCCCAATTTATACATACAATATTGGATTTCTCACCTTCCTCAGACTAATAATTGAGGAAAAAAAACCAGCCCCAAGCTGGTTCACACTGTAAGTTCATATTCAACATCATATTTTTAAAATACATTAAAGTGACAACACTAGCATAAAGGCAAGTGCTCAGAAAATTGGGCTGCTGGAATAAAACTGTCCATGAATCTTTAAAGTCACTTGCATGTAACAAGAGGGCCGAATTTAATCTCTTTATTGCTTGTATTCCCTAAAGGGCTGCTGCTGCTCTGCATGCTGGCTGAGCAGGTACTGTTGAGGATCACTGTAGCCTGCCAACATGTGGCCTCGGGCCATACTTGCTGCATGCCATGCACATTCTGTACTCAATATAGAATTGTTCTCCTTCTGGGATGCTCTGTTATAATTAACTTCATATGAGTGTTTTTCTAACATCAGCATTTATCATTTTAACACCCCAGGAGTTATCATCTCTTCATCTCAGTCTGATTTTGCAGATGGGAGTCTGAAATGCTGTGCGTCCCCCAGAACCTGACTTTTCAGGGACCTTGGCATTTGGCAGTCAGTGAAAGGGGCACTGCCAACATAACATGAACCTGGTATTGCTCAGAGCTAGAAGTTCAAGATGACACTGCTCTGCAAACAAACCAAGACAGCAGTCACTGTGAGATGACTGAAACCAGCTCACCCAGGTGCTCGCAGGCTCTTTGCCTTCCCCTGCCGCTGCCCAGCTTCCTGACTGCCCACCTTAGAAGCACTGAAAAAAATCACGACTATTTCTGAAATATCTGCTTCTACCCTCATTCCTGCTGCTTGCAGGATCCAAAGCCTGGGCAATAAGCCCCACATCTCCTCCTCAGTGAGCAGAGGTGCTTCCTCAGGACAGGGCAAAGGCCCTGGGCACCAGATCGTGCCCTGTGAAGATGAACATTAAGAGACTGTAACACTGCCCATGAACACAAACTCCACTGCTCTTGGAGAGACAGAAAAAGTCCAACCACAAAAGCAATCCTGTAGTCCCATTTCAAGTCCCTAAGGTTTAGTCTCGCTGAACTTGAAGATTCTGATAGGCAAAACATTTTTTTTTAATCATTCTGGCTTAGCCTAAGCACACAAAAACTGCTTGGTGTGAAGCGTATTTTTTCACCCAAATGGCAAGTTTCCTAGAACTAAATCTAAGGTCTTATGGTGGAAGTGTTGGGAATAATTACGATTAAGGTACACTGCAACCTGCAATTTAAATTTCCAAGCAGTGATTTCATGCACAAGGGAGGTCAAAGGCACAGTTTCACAAAACATTGGTGCCAACAGCAGTGGCAACTGCCGAGAGAGCACAGAACTGACCCTCTCTGCTATTGGCTACACAGGAAGGGAACCACAACAGCCCCCCCGATGAAAGCCCCCATCAGTGCTGGCACACAATGGGTGTAAAGGGACACTGCAGGGTATATGGTCTGCTAACTTTTCCAGAAGCAGCACAGGGTAAGTCACCTTCTGCAATCATAAACAATATCCCAAAACCCATCACAGCTTTTAGTAATTCCACTGGTTGCTTCTGTCTTCCACTCACGTCAGAACCTATTTCACTGCTTGAAGTCTTGATTTCCCATGTTTTCCCTCCTATTCACACAGTCCCAAAGTGGCCAGCAAAAGTTAGAATCATAGTCTACATATTTTATTTGTTCAGTTTCCAGATGGAAGCCAGGAAAACAAATTTAAGAGACAGGGAACACTGACCAAGGGCTTGAGAAGCATCTGAAAGTACTTGTTTTTAAGAGGACTACATTACAACTACAGCAGTACAAAGCTGGGCAGTTTCCAATCCAGTGCAAGCCTTGGTGGCAACACAGAAAGCTCTGATTTGAACAAGTGATCTGCACTACTTTAACAGAGCTAAATAAATACAGAAGCTTAAAAACAGTAAAAAAGAGACATTAAATAATACCTTGTGTTGGATCTCATGTCTCATTAACCTATGAGAAACCTGGGAATGTCAGATGAAGGGTTCCCCCTCTGAAAATGTCTATTTTAGAAGTAGTACATAGCACAAACAGTGGCTTCCTACAGCTTTAGTCATCTCATTTCCAGACAAGCTTGCTGCTCAAATGAGAGGACAAAGAGCAGAAATTACAGTGTCACTCCACGCTGCTGTGGTTCTCTGGAGCTGTGTACTCTGCTCTTTCATGCCCAGGTGCCAGTCCCAGCTCTGCAGTTTGAGGGTCTGCAAACGGAGCTGCTGTGGAAGGGCACACCCAGGCTGTGAAGTCCTACTGAAACCAGAGAGTGAAGTGAAAAGGTCTGCAAAAATTGCAAGTCCTTTATTTTAATTAAACACATTCAGATCAATAGTCACTCTTGTAGATATGCATAGTCTTGAGTTAATTAAACCAGTTAGTTCTTTTCTTTCCACAGCAATCAATGAAAACCATTTTCATTAATTAGGCCAACGACATCCTGGCTCTGAAGAGTTTAGTATAAGCTAAAGCACTGAATAAGTAGGTAATATACAGGGGAGAAGAAAACCCACATGTCTTTAATCTGTGGAGAGCAATTACTTAATTTGAAGTTCTGTTTGCTTTCCAAACAAGGCTATGCTGAAAATAACTATGGGCCATAACATCTTTTTCGTTTTCAAAAGAACACTTGGCACAAGAGTTTATCAAGGCCAAGTACTTACTCCCTTTCACCACAGAGCAGATAAAAAGGACAGACAAGCTTCAGCAAATGAATTGCACTTTTCGTTAAGAACATAACTTCTTGAGAACGTGCATTTTCAAGTTTTGTAACTAGCATATAAAAATCATGTAGTACACACCAGTGATGGAAGAAGCTGCAAATTACAACACACAACTTCCAGTCCTGCTCTCCATCCATGCTAGCACTCACTCAAGAAGATTAGTTGTTCACACAGCTACCGGAATGAGACTGGTAATCATTGTAGTGCACTTTATCACTTTTCTTTGCAGATGAAAGAAAATGAGCCAAATAATTTTCTTAAAAATCAATTTGTTCTGTACATATTTGCTGTTCAGTGACAGACCAGGTATGCAAAAAACCCATATTGTAACTAGGTCTCCTTTCTTGTGTTAAATACCATGACAACTTCAGTCCTTTGCATTATTTGCTCATTCAAGTATTCATAATTCTTTCAATAGGACACAAAGAGACACATCGGTTCCACTAAAATCTCAAATACTCTTTGGCACTACCTTAAATCAGTGAAATTGCTTGTATACAGAAAGAATTAAACTCACCAACTGGCAGATGAGAGTCACTTCATTTTTCTAATGTGTTTTAAAATAGCTAATGAAGGACAGGCTTTTTATAAAGCTTGGCACATGTGTAAAAAACATTTCAGACTTAGGATCTGATTTTTTATTAGCCTCTTCTTTTGGACCTCTGACACTGCCCACCTGTCTCTGTCTCTGGTCACTCTGGATCACATTTCACCCCACAAACAAAACAGGAGGCAGAAGGATAGACTTGCTTTCTTCCTGCCCAAAGACTTCAAAGGAAGATCTCTCATGCCTCATTCCTGGGGAGCAAAATCTCCCTGCCAGCCCTTGAGCATCTTTCCGAAATTGCTAATGGCAAACAAAAATCCAGAACAGTGACCAAAGCTCTCAGATTCACTTTACCTCTCACTCCTCCTCTCTCCTGTGCAGGTTTGTTCTGTAAGCCAGCAAAACCCACTGTTGTGAGGAACAGCACTGTTGAAAAACAGTGATTAAACACAGAAAAAACCCCACTGTTTCCCAGTCACTCTTCCCCAAAATGTATTCATGTACTCACCTGCTTAAGCAAAACACACTCAGGTGAAGCAGAGATAGGCCAGTGCACCCCAGAATGAGACACAGGCTTGGGGCATTGCCAGGTGCTCAGAAAAGGCCAAAAGCCTGAGGTGGAACTTGGTACACAGGGATCATGTTTGTCTGCCTCAGGAAGCTGCAACTCCTGCTTGTAACAGAGTAGGTTTAAGGTTCCTGTGAGTCATCCCTAAGCAATATTGTCCTTCCTTTCAGCAGGTGCTGCAGGTGCCAGCCAGGGCTGTGCCTCACAGGAGCTGCTGCTCTCTGAGCACTTTCAGCACAGGAAAAGGGAAGGCAAAGCACTTTGCAGCACACAGCTGAGCACTGTAAAACCCCCAGACAGACAGTGGGCTGTTAAAGCACACACAAGGACACTCCTCCCCAAACTGCTTAAACAATCTTCACTCTGTCAATAAGGAACAGCAATGTTCTTCAAAAGCCCAGGATGAGTTTGCTACAGGAGGATTTCTATGCTTTGCTAATAACTTACTGAATGAGCCAACTAGGCTCACTACATCCAATTTGGGCTTCAAATATTCAATATATTCCTGGCAACAACTCTGCTACGTACTGAAGGAGCTACTCCAGCAGATACTAGTTCCAGTTGTAATTTTAAAAAGTAATTCATTAAAATGCTGTCATGGTATGATAACAATGTTTTTAATAACCTGTAAATCATTTAAATGCCTACATTCTTTTGAAATTCAGAAAGATTTAACTACTGCCCATAGTACACAGGGCTGGCCAAAACACTGACAGAAGAGCTATTCTGTATTCCAAATCAATTTTCTTCTCCAGTCAGCCTTTAAAGCTCATTGCTAATACTAGCTTTGGGACTGTATGAGATTTTAAAAGTGAACACGAGAGAGGCACTTTTCAGAGACACACTGGAAAACAGTTTGGTTCCTTCCAATAGGCACTGAAGCAAAATTCCCCATACTCCATGTCAGTGAACTATCAGCTGCAGCAAAGCTTTTGCAGTGGCTTTAAGATTTGGGAGAGCAAGGGAAAAGGATGATCATTTTTCTCTATCATCCAGTTTCTGTGAAAAAGAGTTGACAAATTCAGTGGTCTGAGCCTGGACATAAAAGTGAGAGTGAGCACCAACTCCTTGCCAGCCATGTTTAGAAAAATTCTTGTGTTTCAAAACAAACTTACAATTTATTTTATGTTTCAATCTTTCTCTCTATGTGGAAAATATTTCTATCAAAAATAAAACATTTCCAAAACTGTCTTCAAGTTAATGAAGTCTTTGTGTATCAAGCAAAAGGCACTTCCTTTTGGAATGAAAGTGTAGGATATTAAACCCACTGCATTAAAGTGGATTGAAAGCCTGTCAGCACAGTAAAGAGCAGCTTATATGTCACTTATATTTACTCCAGGCACTCACAGTAGAGTTATAACTTCAGTTCAATGTAAATAACACTATTTTCATATACTTGTATTTCCTCCATCTAAAACATTAACCAGATTTCAAAGTTAACCTGGAATTCGTGCTGCACAGGTAGACAACATATTAAAATGGTTTCTCATCAAGTCATCAAGCTTAAATACAGATGACCTAATGCAACTGGTGATGTTCACAACCACAGGTGTTGAGAAGTCTGACTAATGATTACCACAGTAACAAGGATCACTGTATCATGTGCTGAGGAAAAACTGCTGCTCAGACTTAGCTTAGGTGGCACTAACTATTACTGCAAGCCAGAGTCTGACACAAATACATATTTAGAGTGCATTGGCTTTTTCTATCCAGCTATGAGGCACTGAAATCTTAGAGAGGAGCCTCAGCTTGTTAGACTGTGCTATAAACATACTTCCAGCAGTCTGGATGTTGTACCAAAATAAACAGAGCCATTAAAAGCAGTTCTCCAGTATTTTTAAAGGGGCTCTAGAAGGACAGTCAATTTGGTTTACATACAATGTGTTACTCTTTGGCATTATTTCTAAATTAAGGAGAAAAAAAAGCTGGTAGACCTGAGCAGGTATTAGAAGACGGGCACAAGCCACCTCTGTTCTGGCAGGGCAAAACGTATTTCTGTCACACTACCAAGTTTAATGCATAACAGTGTCATCTCTTGACAGGTGTAGTATGAGCAAAGGCAATTATGATGGAGTGCTTCAGAACAGGAAAAGAAAAAACTGCAAACTGGGCTGAAGCTTTAGTGTTTCTGCTCTGGAAACTTCATTTCTCACAGAGCTTCTGACCTAGTCACTTTTCCTGACATTGACAGAGGATGATTATTTCTCCTTGGCTCTTCCTATGTAGTATCCAATAATAGGGTACAGCTGCCAAAGTTACCCAAACATATCCCTGTAAAACTGTGGTAAATGTTACTGTGGGCAGTTTCCACATCTTTAAACTGTTTTTAGTCCCCAGAGAAGAGGCAGCTTTTTTTTCTGAAAAGTCCCCTGTAAAAATCTCAGTCCTATAACCAAGCCCCAGCATTTAAGCGGGGTTAAAACTACCCCCATCAAGTTTTCTCTGAGATTAGCAGGAGGAACAAGGCTTTTCAGCAGCCACACAGCAGCAATGCAGTTGGCTCGTGAGGCTACACAGAATTACCTGATGCCAGCCCCTGATGTGGGCATGTTTTCAGTCACAGCTTCCCACCAGTGAACCCTCTTCACCCGCAGCTTGTAGAGCACAAGACCTGATGGATTTTGTGTCCTGTGCTTGACCCCCAACAATCCCCAGACCATGACAGAGAAGCTACAGTGGAACACGCACATGGAGGATCCTCGAGTCACAGCTGAAGAAGCCACATTAACATGACTCACAGAATCACAATGGAAATTCTGAGGAATTTCATAAATCAGAGTGAGCCATTGCTGCACTCCGACATTCAGCAATTTTCCTGAAGATTGTTAAGCGCTACTAAAAAACAAGTAGTTCTTAGGCAGAAAAAACAGACAAATCCATTTTCCTCTCAATTTGTTTGACTGACCTTGTGGTACAGGTAGCAATGATGAAGGACAAAACCACATTTTTTTTTGCAACAGTCTCCTTTTCCTGTATGTAGAGACTCATATAAATGTAGAACTGCTGGAGCATGTACGTAGAAATGTTTACTCTTTGGGGTTTGGGTGCCTGTGCCCGGATGCTGAGGGCTGCTGAGGGTCTGTGAGGGGAGCCCTCAGCCAGGCCGCAGCATCTCGGAAAAGAGCAAAACCTGCACGGAGTCAGGGGAAAAGTGTGAGAAATGTCCCTGGAGTGAGGGGGAAAGTGTGAGGAGTGTCCCTGGGAGTGGCTGTGCTGGATTCCCTGGGAGCCAGCACACAGCAAATCCACACTGCAGCCTGTGGCAGAGCCCAGGCTGAAGCACGGCGCGTTTCCTGAGGGAACACGGCAGCGGAGAGGAACCGCAGCGCATGGAGAGCCCACACAGAGAGGGGCTGAAATGGAGTGACCACAGCTCACACCGCCCCTCCCTCCGGCCCGGCTCAGGGGGAGGAAGAGGTGGAGGAGCTGGGAATGGAGCAGTCAAGCTGAGCTTGCAAAAAACGGGGTATGAGGAGAAAGCGTTTAGGTTTTATCTTTGCTTTTCATCGTCCAAATGTATTTTAATTGGCAATAAATTAATTTCCCCCGAGCTGAGTTTGTTTTGTCTCTGATGGCAACTGGTAAGTGACGTCCCTGTCTTTATCTCAAGCCGCGAGGTTTTTGATGGCGTTTTCTGCCGTGCTGTGAGGGGGAGAGCGGCCGGGTGGGCGTGCAGGCAGCCGAGAGCTGGGAACGGGAACCGCTCCGTGCGGGGCTCACACTGCACTAACTCCGCTCCGGAGCCGCGGCTCCAGCGCCTGCAACAGCGTCCCTGCACAGAATCTTCCCAGCATGTGCAGCTATAAACCTGCGCTTCTAGAGGAAACATTAGCAAGGGTGCATTTAAAATGCTGTCAGCATCAGCTCCCATCTTTCATGCTGACATTCACTACCCTCACAATCCAAGACTGAAGGAATGGACAGAGGAGAGACAGGTCTCACACAGAGCACTGAGGAAACAACAGCAAAAAAACCACCACCACAAAAAAAAAACAAAAGCCACAACAAACAAACAAACAAAAAAAAAACAAAACCAAAAAACAAGAGAGAGAGAGATGATTTCATCAAAAAAACAGCCAGCCAGATTTTATTAATCCAGACTGTACTTGCAAGATCTCCAAAGGACTACAGACTAGTGTATTCCTTATGTAATTCCTGTCAATCACCTCTTTGAGCCAGAAACACCAGACAGACAGCAGTCTCACCAAAAACAAACAAAAAAAAAATAAATAAAAGGGGGGAAAATTCAACTCGTTATCTTTAGATTCAATAAGATACTGGACTTAATGAGAATTCAAGGAAAGGAGATAAGAATCGAGGAGAAGTAAAAAGAAAAAAGGGAAAAACCCCAGCATTTGTTTTGAAGACTGTTTATTTAAAATTGCTGCTGAACATAAAATGAACAAAAGTAACAGGAAATAAAATATTGCTGTATCTAAGTGCCATGTTTCCCTGATAATATGGAATAGCATCATATGCTGCAATAAAATGTTTTAGCTGATCATTTCTTGTCTTTTTGGCACTCTGCTGACACACTTTTTAAAGTGTTAATTAAAAAAAAAGAATCAAATCAACACTACAAATTGGATAGATTTGTGCCCTACAAACAGTCTTTTCTGACCAGTAATTTGTGGAGCTGGGGCTCAGCCAACTTCCAATGAATCTGTGGAGAGTTTCCAGCAAACTGTCATCGCAGCAGGATGCAGTTCTTGATAGGGTGATCATACATGGCAAGTGAAGTGATGCTGAACTGTCACTAAACAAGTCTATTTTATTGTGCCTGAACCTTCCTTTAAGGCTCACCCAAAAATAGAGATTGACAGTTTACATCCAGATATACATTTATACCATAATGCACCTAAAATCCCATGGTATCCACATGGAAACAAGCTTTTTGGGAGAACAACAAAGAACACTGGACCAGCTACAGCTCTAGAACACAAGCACTTTTTTATATTTATAAACCAAATAGGCCATGACAAGAGACCTGAACATGGAGTACTTTCCCCTTAGGGGTTCTGACTTCTTTCCCTTCTATTTTCTTTAGTTTGAAAAAAAGAATTTTAGATTTGATATACATGAGAGCATTTTAAGTGTGCCTAGTGCAGCACTCATCCTGTATTCATCTATTGCTAATATTTTTAGAAGGCTATTTCCAAGATACAGGTAAGTAAGCACAAAAAGAAAGCTAATCTGCATGTAGAATACTAACAGTAATTTGGAAATTCA